CAAGGAAGATGGGGGCAAGGAGGAAGTGGCTCCCACACCCGACTTACAGGAGCCACTAGCCCAGCCAAGTGCCCCCAACCCTGGCCAGCCCCCCCAGCGCCAGGAAGCCAGGCTTGGCTGCCAGTGCCAGCACCCCTGCTTTTTCTTCTGGCTTCACTAACTCTCAGGAATGGGCCCGAGGCCCCTGGGGTGGGGGTGGGGGACTCCAACACTTCCTCAGGCAGATAGGCCTGGTCACCGCCCAGCAGGTGTATCCCTCCTCCCCCGCCCCTGCCTTGGGGAGAGCAGCAGGGACCCAGGCCCCACCCCCTTCCTGTCCCTCCGACCCTGGGAGCAGAAGTGGCCCTCTCCAGTCTCCCCTCCAGCCGTTTCTAGTCCCAGCCCCTGGCTGCCTCCCCACAACTCATGCCTAGGCTAAGTCAGGAGTCCTGCCCTCCTGGGGTTGCCTCAAACCCCTGCGTCCCCAGAGCCTGCAGAAGGTCCGAGCAGGTGGACGGGGTGTCTGAGGCTGGATGCCTGGGTTCCTGCCCAGAGCATGCTGGAACTGGGCTTCCCCGACTTGCCTCCCACAGACATGATCAGCGTCCGCTCCGGGGGTGGCCGCCCTGGTGCTGGCCCCCAGCTGGGCACTGGCCGAGGGACACTCCGGCTCCGATCGAGGGGCCCTGCCACGGTAGAGGACATGGTGAGTGTGCCAGCTGGGCCTTGCCCCCTCCCTGCACGTTTAGAGGTGGCAGCATCAGCTGTTAGCTGAGGGGCTCTGGGCACTGGATTCAGATCCACCTCCCAGCCCTGGGACCTTTCTGGGGCCAGTGGGCCTCAGTTTCCTCATCTGTAAAATGAGGATAATAATACTGACATTTTCAGGGTTGTCATAAGGGTGAACCACAAGTTAATATACGTGAAGTGGTGAAAACTGCGCCTGGCGCTTAGCGAGTACGATTAGTTCTATGGCAGTATCATGATGTCGCTGTCTCCCCCAGCCCTCGGCCTTCGAGGAGAAGGCCATTGAGAAGGTGGACGATCTGCTGGAGAGTTACATGGGCATCAGGGACACGGAGCTGGGTGAGTGGGGCGCCTGGGTCTGGGGGAGGGGCTTCTAGGTCCTTTGGGGCTGGGGCTGCTCCGAGCACCCCTGCCATCTATGCCTCCGTTCTGCCCACCCCTCCGCCCCCAGCGGCCACCATGGTAGAGCTTGGAAAGGACAAAAAGAACCCAGATGAGCTGGCCGAGGCCCTGGACGAACGGCTGGGTGACTTCGCCTTTCCTGATGAGTTCGTCTTTGACGTCTGGGGGGCCATTGGGGACGCCAAGGTCGGCCGTTACTAGACCTCCCACTGGACCTCGTGATGACCTGGGCCTGGCCTGGTGGGAGACCCCAGTGGGGGGACGCCACAGCCCAGACCCCAGCATCTGTCTTGGGCCTGGCTCAGCAGGCCGAGGCGATGTGGAGCGGAGGTGGGGCCGCGCCCCTGCCCCACTCCAATCGGTACCACCCCCTCCCTGGTTCCCAGCCTGGCTGGGGCCCCTGGCCCCCCCTGCCCTCTTCCCCACCTACCTCAGCTGGGTCAGGCGTGAGGAGGGACTGGCCGGATTGGGCGGCCACCCCCGCCCCCAACACTTCCTGCATCTGCTGCCAAACTGGTCCTCTGTCTCCCTGGGGCCTCGGGTTCTGTTTGGGGGTTGTGACCTCCCTAGTTTCCTGACGCAGGGAATGCAGAAGGGGGGCGTCCCCCTCAGCAAATGCAATAATACCCCCCACCCCAGAGAGGAGCCCCCTCGGCGTGGAGTCTGTTACCTTCACGTTTGAAACATGAGTCTGCTGTGAACGCTCCAACCTCCCCCACCCCCGGCTCCCTCAGCCTGGCCCCGGGGGGATGGGACGAGAGGGACGATGGCGGTGGGCTTTTGTATCTGAATTTACTGTCTTGAACATAAAGAATCTATCTGCTGTTGGACCTGTGTGGTGGCTTCGGGGTGTGGGAGGGGGGTGGGCCCGGGCTGGGAAAGAATGTAGCAGCTGAAATCCATCCTCCCTGGGCTCCAAATTGAATTAGGAGCTGGCCCGGGCCCCCCCCACCCGTTCTGCCTGATGCGTCTCCTGGCTGCAGGCCACCAGGCTTCCAGGCAAGGCCAGAGCTTGTTGGCCTCCTGAGGGTGCAAATCTTGCTCCCTCTCGAACAAGGCCTCCCGCCACCCCAGCCTGGTGTGAACAGTGGGCATGAGGCTGTCGGCTGCGACAACCCGGGGCTAGGAGGCAAGGAGAAAGAAAGGTGGGTGGGCCTGAGATGGGGAGAGTGCTGATGGGGAATAGGCGCCAGGCGCCCCCACCCCAGCTGACTGTGGACGTGCGGGGCCTGCGGGCTTCCATGGTGTGCCACGGTTTGGATATAAACCCGGCATGCTTGTTTTGACAACCCTCTTCATCCTTGAAGATTGAGGAGGGGATCCAGGAGGGGGCAGGACCCTGGCCAGACCTGGAGGGAAGAGCGAGGATTGAAGCAAGGGAAGCCAGGCCAGAGGTCCCTGCAGGAATGTTCGGGGCGAGCCGAGAGCTGAGACAGAGCCCAGCCCGCTCCCCATTTCCACCAGGCGGGGAGGGCGGCTGGGCGGGGGTGCGCGCGCAGCCTGCGGTGTGTTCTCGGGGTGGGGCGGGGCCAGGCGCCCTGGGGTCACCTGTGGGGGGCCTGTGTGTCTGCTGCCGGCCAGCAGGGCTTGTGGAGGGGTGTGGCTGTGAGTCTGGGTGTTGAGAGGGAAGGACTGTCTGTCAGTTGGTGGGTTGTGGCCGTGTGGAGGGCTGTAACTTGTGTCTGTGTTGCGGGAACAGGGTGTAGTGATTGTCTTTGTGTTCCAGAGTGTTCTGGAGTGTGGCCATGCGAGTGCGTCTTGGGGCGTCCCAGGCTCTGGGTGCTCCTGGTCCTAGGGCAGTGGGTGACCAGTGGGTCCCAGGAGTGCCACTCCTGCCTCTCAGGTGTCTGGTGGGTACCTATTTAGCTTGTCCTGTACCATAAGGGGTGTCTCGGGTGACATGGAGTGGGCTGCGGCTGTCTTGTGGTGAGGACTGCGTATCTCCCAGGGTGCCGCCGGATGTGTCTCCCAGCACTGAGGGCTGTGACAGTGGCTTTCTTGGGGGCTGCATTTTAGGGCATTGAGAGAAGCGGCCGGTGTTAGAGTTGGTAACTATGGGCGCATCTGGTGTCGGGGGTGACACTGTCTCAGCGAGTTCAGAGGTGTGATGACGGCTGACCCCAAGGCTCCAAGGGACATGGCTGCCACTGTGCTGGGGACAGGCTGTGATGGTAGCTGGTTTCAGAGTGTCAAGGAATAGAATTGTATGTCTTCAGGTGTGAGACTCTGGGGTGTGACCCTACTTCTCAGGGCAAGAGGTGCAGCTACCCGTCTCTGTGGCACGGGACATGTGTGTCCCACATGTTGCTCCCCACATCCTCAAGCAGGATGGAGGAGAGGCTCCTGGCCCCGGGCCTCCTGGCTCCCTGGCCCCTTAGCCTCCTCCCGTCCCTTCCCCTCCCCTCCGGGGTGTGCCGCCCGCCCAGCCTGGGCTTTAAGCCCCTGTGTAAATAGTGGGTGGATCTCCTGGCCAGGGACCCGGGCTGGTCCACCCGCGGCACTGCCGCCACCACCCACCTGACATCCACCATCCACCAAGGCTCTGGCAGGGCAGCGGGGGTGCTGCTGCCCCCCGCCCCCCGCAGGGCTAGGCCCCCAACTTCGCCACCCGCCCGTGTAGGGGCAGCGGCACCCCTTGCAGCCGCCCAGCCCGCCCCAGGCAACGCTCACATTTTCCAGTGTTTAGATTTTATCCGCTTTATTAATGAGGCAGGCGAGAGGCCTGCGCCTGGGGGGAAGGGGGCTGCTCCAGCCAGCCAAGGGGAGGGAGTCCAGGGGGCCAGGCCAACTCCCCGGAGCCCCCTCCCTGGTGGGGGCGCTGAAGCCCAGGTGGCCCCCGCCCATTGCCAGGAGTACAGAGAGGGGGTCTGCCACCTCAGGTCCCCTGCAGGCACACACTGGGTGGAGCGGGCCCCTGGAGGCCTGAGCCTGAGCAGCGGGCGGGCGGAGGAGGCTGGGAGCCGGGAGCCGAGGAGCCGCCCCAGGAGGGAGGGCGGGAGGGCGGGAGGGAGCGGCCCGCTGGAGAGCTCGGGCGCAGCGGGTGTGGGCGCAGCGGGAAGCAGGGGTCCAGCGGCAGGCGATGGGGACCCCGGGTCCCAGGCAGTGCTGGGTAAGAAGGCTGGGGCGAGGGTCTCCAGTGGGGAGGGAGGGCACAGAAGGATGGGGCCATGGCTACCGCAGTCTGTCCTGTGTTCTCTGACTCTCAGCCCCTTCTGTCTGTCCCTGCGGGTCTTACTGTCTGTCCATCCTCCCTTCCCATCTGAACCAGCAGGCAGCTCTGCCTTCTTAGCCCTCACCACCAGTGTACCAAGGCTGGGTGTTCCTGGGTCGGCCTTGAGCCTTGGGGCAGGGATATGGAGCTGGCCGCAGTGGAACTGTGGGTGTCCAGGATGAGGCAGCTGAGACCAGGGGTAACGGCCGGGTGAGAGACAGCAAGGGAGCGCAGAGATGGGAGTGTGGGGACAGGAATGGGACCATAGGAACAGAGATATGGTCGTGGGAACAGAATGGGACCATGGAGACAGAGATGCATCGACAGGGACAGGGACGGAGCTGTGGAGACAGAGATGTGGCCATGGGCAGAGAGTGCAGTGGGGAGAGATGTGCCCATGGTGGCAGAGGTGGGGCTGTGAACATCAAGGATGGGATTGGAGTAAAGTGACACAGTGATGGGCAGAGGTGGGGCAGTGGGGTCAGGTGGGAACCTCGGATCAGAAATGGGTCAGTGGGCATCAGATGGGGCCAGGGGCCAAGGATTTGCTGTGGTGTAAACACGGGAGGTGGGTGTCAGAGGTGGGTCTGGGAGGCCCAGAGGTGCGGACAGAGACACGGAGGGCTGGAGCCGGGGAGCCTGGTGGACAGAGAGGCGGGCAGTGAGGGCAGAGTGAGGCAGAGGAGGAGGAGGGATCAGGAATGGGGCAGCCAGGGTCATCTGGAGTTGCTATGGCAGAGGGTCCGCCGAGGAACGCCATGGGGTCAAATGGCGCTGGGCCCGGCCAGCCTCACCTGTCCTGCCCCCCTCTCCGCAGCCCCAGCCCCGGCACCCGACATGAGCCGGTGCGGGCCCCTCAACCTGAGCCTGGCGGGAGAGGCCACCACGTGTGCGACGCCCGCGGCCCCCAACGCGTCGGCCGGGCAGCCGGCGGGCTTGGCGGGCGCGTCGCCGGCGCTGCCCATCTTCTCCATGACGCTGGGCGCCGTGTCCAATGTGCTGGCGCTGGCGCTGCTGGCGCAGGCCTCGGGCCGCCTGCGGCGCCGCCGCTCGGCCGCCACCTTCCTGCTGTTCGTCGCCAGCCTGATGGCCACCGACCTGGCGGGCCACGTGATCCCGGGCGCGCTGGTGCTGCGTCTGTACACGGCGGGCCGCGCGCCGGCGGGCGGCGCCTGCCACTTCCTGGGCGGCTGCATGGTCTTCTTTGGCCTGTGCCCGCTGCTGCTGGGCTGCGGCATGGCCGTGGAGCGCTGCGTGGGCGTCACGCGGCCGCTGCTGCACGCGGCGCGCGTCTCGGCGGCGCGCGCGCGCCTGGCGCTGGCGGGGCTGGCGGCCCTGGCCCTGGCCGTGGCGCTGCTGCCGCTGGCGCGCGTGGGCCGCTACGAGCTGCAGTACCCGGGCACGTGGTGCTTCATCGGCCTGGGCCCGGCGGGCGGCTGGCGCCAGGCGCTGCTCGCCGGCCTCTTCGCCGGCCTCGGCCTGGCCGCGCTGCTCTCCGCGCTCGTGTGCAACACGCTCAGCGGCCTGGCCCTGCTCCGCGCCCGCTGGCGCCGCCGCTCTCGACGGCGCCCCCCGGCCTCCGGCTCAGACGGCCGCCGTCCCTGGGGGGCGCGCGGACCCCGCTCGGCCTCCGCCTCGTCTGCCTCGTCCGTCGCTTCGGCCTCCGGCGGCTCCCCAGGCCGTGGCTCAGCGCGCAGGGCCCGCGCCCACGACGTGGAGATGGTGGGCCAGCTCGTGGGCATCATGGTGGTGTCGTGTATCTGCTGGAGCCCGCTGCTGGTGAGGGGCGCTCATGCCTCTCCGGCAGTACTTTTTCCCGCTCCTTCCGTGGCCCTTCCCACCCCTTTGCGTCCTAAGACACCTGCGTCCTCCTCCCTTCCCAGGCCAGGGCCCGCCCCCTCGAGGCCCCGCTGTCAAAGCGCCTGCCCTTTGCTCGCTCCCTGTGAAGTCCCACTCGTCCTCCACGTCTCCTTATCTTACTCCTCCCCGGGGTCTTCGTAGCTCACCGACCCATGGGAGCCTCCTCTCCAGCCCCACCCCTCTGGTACCCGAAGCTTCATCCCGTCGTCCCCGTCCACTACCACCTTCCCCGTTTCTCTTCTCCCCTCAGTCCCCTGAGCTTCGGGATACCTGAGACTTTCCCTCCTTTCTTGCCGAGCCCACACCTGCTGAAGGCCTTTGCTTCTGCCACGCCCTCTAAGGGCCAGCTTACTCGCCTCTTTCTATACATGGCTCCTCCCCACGCAGACTCCCATTTACGGCCCCTGTGGCGCCCCCCACCCCAGCCCCTTTCCCTCCAGCCGCGCTCCCTCCCACCCCAGACCCCCCTCTCGCCGGTCGCCTTCTCTGACACCGTCCTCCCACCCCCCACCGGCTCACACCGGCTTCTCTCGCAGGTGCTGGTGGTGCTGGCTGTTGGGGGCTGGGGCGCCAGCTCCCTGCAGCGGCCCCTGTTTTTGGCCGTGCGCCTCGCCTCGTGGAACCAGATCCTAGACCCCTGGGTGTACATCCTGCTGCGCCAGGCCGTGCTGCGCCAGCTGCTTCGCCTCCTGCCCCTGAGGGCTGGCGCCAAGGGCGGCCCCGCGGGGCTGGGTCCAACCCGGAGTGCCTGGGAGGCCAGCTCGCTGCGCAGCTCCCGACACGGTAGTCTCAGCCACTTCTAGCGTGCCCCGAGGCCCAGCGGCTAAGCCAGACCACCCCGGGCCGCGCCCGGGGTGCAGCGCGGAGCCTTCGGGGAGCAAAGCCACTTTGCGGCCCAGCCCGGGCGCTGCGTGCCGTCGGGGCTGCAGCGCGCTGTGGCCGCTCGGGGGCGCGGAGACGCCGGGCGCGAAGCCGGAGCGGCGGGAGCATGCGCGCAGCGCCGCGGCCGCAGCCCGGGGGCGGGGGCTCTGCCCGAGTGGAGCGAGGGGCTTTGGGGGACGATCCTGCTCCTGGCGTCGCGGGAACCGACGCCAGCAACCTCTCGCGCACGATGCCTCCGAGCTCCCCCAACACGGCCGCAAGGCCCTGCCCCAAATTACATCCCATCGCAGCCTCGAGACCCCACATCCCTCAACGCGGTCTCGGACCCCATCCCATCGCGGCCCACCGTCACAGTCCCGAGCCCCCGGTCCCCTGATCCGCCTCAGCTGACCCCCACCATAACCCCGGGCAGCTCCCTACCACTCCCCTTGCACCCAGCCACCCATCCGATCCGCCCCAGCAAGCCTCTGCCTCTGGGCACACCCCCCACCCCCGCCATCACCGGCCCCCGCCCCGTGCCCCCCATTACTGCGTACAATAAGAGCCGAGATGCATGGATGGGGCAAACCCCAAGGCCGTTTAAAAAACTACTAACAGCTCGGGAGGCGGGGGTGGGGAGAGGGCTAGCAGCCCCCAGCCACGAAGTCGAAGTCCCGGAAGGCCGCCTGCTCCGCGGCCGAGAGGGGCCGCGCGTCGCGGGGCGGGCTCAGCGCCGGGGCCTCGCCCGTGAACTCCTCGTCGAAGTTGCTGACGTCGGTGCGGCCCGACAGGGTGGGCACGAAGGGCGGCGGCAGGCGCCGGGCCAGCAGGGCGTCCCAGCCCAGAGTCTGCAGGGCGGGCGGGGACAGGTCAGCAGGGGAGGCGGGAGCCAGACTGCAGCGGGGGGAGGGGGGGGGGCGGTGTCCCTGCACCCGGTCCAGCCCCGGAGCTGCAGGGGTCGGGACATGGAGTCACAAGGCAGAGGGAAAGCGGGGGGCCTGGGGGCTCAGGAAGGCTCACAACAGGCAGGGAAGGGGGCTGCTGGTCAGTCGGGGAGGCTGGGCTCAGGCAGAGGGCAGTGCTCCCCAGCAGGCCAGCCTGGGGCAGATGTGTGTGTGGGAGAGTCAGAGGGGCGAAGGAAGGGAGAGAAGGGGGTGGGGCCGACGTTGGAGGGAGCCCTAGACCGGGGGTGGTGACCGGGTCCTTGAGAGTGGCCTCACCCTGAAGAAGGGCTGTTTTCTCACATCCTCGGCGTCCCTCTCGCTGGACCCCAACCTTCGCTCTGGGTTTCTCCGCAGCAGCTGCGGAGGGAGCACTGCGTCAGTCTTCCCCTCCGGCCCCAGAGCCCCTCCCCACGCCCACTCCAAGCTGGGGGGTCCTCACCCTGCGCATGATGCCGATGGCCTCGGCCGACAGGAAGCGGGGGTAGCGGACCTCGTCGTTGACGATGCTGTCAAACACCTCCTCCTCGTCGTCCCCTGGGAATGGGGACTGGGGACAGGGAGAGCCAGGGAAATCAGGCCCCTCCACGCCCAGCCCGGCCCAGCCCAAGCACTCCGCTCACATGGCTCCCATGGGAGGGGAAGTACCCCATTTTACAGATGCTGAAACAGGCCAGGGAGGAAGCCACCGCCCCGATCCCACAGCACGCGGTGGAGGCGGATTCTGATCCCACCGCTGGGCGCACACAGGTTCCAGCATGACCCCAAGGACAGGCAGGGTGGGGCAGCCTGGGGCCTCACCTCACCGACCAGCATCTCGTAAAGTAGCACGCCCAGTCCCCACCAGTCCACCGCCCGTGTGTATGACGTGTCCGTCAGCACCTCAGGGGCCAGGAACTCTGGGGTCCCGCAGAACGTGCTGGTGCGGTCGCCATAGCCCATCCCTGGGGAAGCAAGGCCCAGGAGGACATGGGGCGGGGGTTCCAGCTCTGGGCCAGCCCAGCATGGGTGGTCCAGAGCCCTGTCCCAGGGTCCAGGCTGGCGGTAACCTGGTAGGGTTGGGGACGCCATTCCAGCCCCTTCTAGTCCCCAGAAGCCATCCCCTCAGGCCCCGCCCCACCCCTCACCCTCCTTGCAGAGGCCAAAGTCTGCAATCTTGACATAGCCCTCGGTGTCCAGCAGCAAATTGTCCAACTTCAGGTCCCTGTGAGGGGGTGGGGGAGTAAAGAGGGGTGAGTGGGGGTCAGGGCCCCTCTGCAGCCTGAGGGCCCCCGGTGGGCAGCGCGCGCCTGCACCTGTAGACGATCTTGTGTTCATGGAGAAACTGCAGCCCCAGCACCACACAGGCCGAATAAAAGCTGCAGAGAGAGGCGGGTGTGAGGGACCGCGACGGGGGACCGCATCAACCCGGCCTCCCCATTCTCCACAGCCCCCAGGCCCCAAGACTCCAGGAGCCGGGGGGAGGCGTGGGGAGGGCGCTCACATGGCCCGGGGCTCGGAGAACACGTCGCTGTGGATGTGCAGCATCAGGTCCCCGCCAGCCGAGTACTCCATCACAAAGCACACATGCTCTGGGGTCTGGAAACAGCCAAACAGGTTCACCAGGAAGGGATGTCCTGCCTCCGTCACCGCGGCCAGGATCCGCTTCTCACACATCAGGCTGGGCAGGGTGAGGCAGGGGTCAGAGACCACAGTAGTCCCCCACCCCTGCCCCACACTGCCCAGAGTCCTCCGTCACCAGGTATTTGTTGAGGACCTCACATGGCGGTGCAACCTTGGGCAAACTGCTTAATATCTCTGAACCTCAGCAGCCTCATCTGCTAAACAGGCATCTAGAATCCACCCGTTGTCCTACTAACAGTCCCCCAACGTCCCTCTGGGGAACTGCCAGGGGAGGGTCAGTTGGAGCACTCCATCTGCCTGGCCAGGAATTGGCTCAGAAAAGGAGAAGCCAAGCCAATGGGGCTCCGTCTCCAGAGTTCAGCTGGAATTATTAAGGCAGAAGGGCTAAAGCTGGTGGATGAGCCTTAAACGGCTGGGCTGGAGCAAATCTCTGCCCCCAGGAGGGGCTTGCAAGCAAAGTCCATACAGAGGAAAACAGAACTGAGAGACAGCATCTGAGCACCTGGATACAGCCACACCTGAAGGCGGCACTCCCGGACTTTTCTGATCCAGAACAATAAATTCCTCTATTTGCTTAAGCCTGTCTAAGTTGGATTCCTGATTAAGAAAAGCATGTCAGGAGGATTGTGGACCATCTCAGGCCTCTACCGGGCATTTACATGTGGCCACGCACTGTGTAGCATGGTCTAGATGCATCCTCTCATTTAATCCACCCAATGACCCTGCAAGAAAGGCCTTATTCCTCCCCTTTTGTAGACAGGGAGGCCAAGGTTCATAAGGGCAAAGTGCCCTCCCCAAGATGTCTGAGCTCATCTGTGGCAGAGGCAGGGTTTGAACCCAGGGCCCTGGCCCCACAGCGAATCACACAGGCTACAGACTCAAGTCCTTAAGTCTGAATCTCGGAGCTGCTGCTTGCTGGCTGTGTGACCTTGAGCACCTTGCTCAACCTTGCTGTGCTCAACCACTGGCAGGACAGGGACAGTCCCGGTGTGCCTCGCAGAGCTGTTGTGGGGACGGACGAGTCCCTGACTGTGGCACACAGTGGTGCTTTCCAAGGGCTGTTGTCCCTCTCGTCAGCACCGGCTTCCCCTGTGCGGGGACTCTGTGAGTCACCCTCACGGCAGCTCCAAGGCGGTGGCTGCTCTGTCTCCCGTTCCTCAGAGGAGAAGACAGAGGTTCCCAGAGGGCCCGAGCGGGGTCCCACCTCTCCACCTCATCTCGGGCCACGATGTCCCCTTTCTTCAAAGCCTTGATGGCGAACAGCTCCCCGCTGGGCCGGAACTCAGAGAGCAGCACCTGGAACCAGGGTGGGCAGCAGTGGCTTCGGTGGCCAGCAAGGGGCCGGGATCCGGGTCCCCAACCCCCACGGCCTCCCCCACCTCACCTTCCCAAAGTGACCCCGGCCCAGCACCGCCAGGAACTTGAAATCCTCAAGGGTCAGGGGCGCCTTCCTCAGGGGACTGTGGAGAGAGGACACTGTGGGGACAGGGACAGCGGACGGGGCTCAGGGGTGGGGACGGGGGAGGGTGTCACCTGCACAAGGCGGGGCCTGGGGTCCCCTGGGTCTCTGAAGGGAGCTGGGGAGCGGTGGTCGTTTCCCGGACTGGGGAACTCTGGTGGAGAGAGGAGGTGAGAGCGAGGGAAGTCAGAGGCACCCTGAACCACGAGGGCCACTGAGGCCGCTATCTACCTCCGACCTCACCTGCCCTCCCACAGACCTCACTCGCTCACTCCCCTGCAGCCACTCTGTTCCCTTCACTGTGCCCTGAACACACCAGGCATGTTTCCACCCCAGGAGCTTTGCACAGCTCGTCTCTTCACCAGGAAGGCTCTTTTCCAGACACCTGCCTGGCTCCTCTGTCACCCCCTTCAGTGCTTTACTCACCGTCACCTTCACAGCTGGTCAGCTGAGAACTAACAGAACCCCCAGAACTCCTACCCCTCCTCTGCTTCATTCTCTCCTCAGCACGTCTCATGCTGCTGATATATTTTATCATTTATCCACTTATTGCCTTGACTGCCATTAGCCCTCAGAGCTTCTTAACTCTTTACCCCACACGCGGGTACAAGCTTGAAAAGAATCAAAACATTTTAAACGGAAAAGAAAATGACCTACTGGTCCATCATCCTCCACTACAGACACAGTTCTAAAAATTCACTCAGTGCAAACAGGTGCACGATGGGAAACACTGTCTGCTCCTGCCCCAGTGCCCCCAGTGCTGGCACCATTAACGGTGTCCTGGGGGCCTTTCTAGATAGATTCTACACCCACACAAGCAAAAGCGCCGGCCCGGGCTCCGCTTTTCTTGCACCCACCATTGACGACATTCCAGTCTTGCATCTCCCACTGGACAAGCTGTCTTGGAAATCATTCAAGGCCGGCACCTGGAGCCCAGGCTCCTTTTTCACCTCTGCATACTACTCCATCCTGCCACTGATTTAGCAGTGGTCTCTAGGCTGACCCTGCAGTTGGTTCTGCTCTCGCCCACACTATGTGGCTAAAGTGATCATCCACCACTGGCGTCCAGGAGTGGAGGCGTGGGGTCAAGACCACGTCCACTGCAACTCAGGAGCGACGCCCTCTCAAGGAGACACAGCACTTTGCACGCTTCCCACCGACGGCCTTTTCCCTGCACCCCCCCAGCATTTGGTGTTATTAAACTTTCGGATTTTTTTGGCTAAATTCATCTAATTTACTGAGCTATTTCATTTCCTCTCATGCCGTGAAGCGTATATCATTATCCTTGTTTTTACAAATGAGGCATGAAACGGACTCTGTGAGGGGCACCGGCGCCAGCTCGCCGGTGCCACCGCCTCGACCAGGGTCCGTGAACGTCATGTCTGACACGGTCAGCGAGCCATGAAAACCTTTCACGTTTTTAAAGGGGTGGGCAAAGGTCACAAGGAG